TAAGAGCCAGACATGCTGCTGCTTCCAGGATCTGCTCAGAAACAGGGCAGGCAGGAAGCCTGCCTTAGCCCCCCTGCACCACTGACTGGAAGCCACCTGCAGTAAGCACCACCTGGCTGAAGCCTTCACTCCAAACCCCTTCCCACACTCCAACTCCCTCCTAGAGCCCCCCCTCCTGCACACTAAACCCTTCATCCAGAACCCACGCCTGCTGCTGTAGTCAGCACCCCCTCCCACACTCTGAACCTCTTGGCTCCAGCGATGAGACTCTCTTACACTCTGAGCTCCTCATTTCTGCACCTACCCCAGAGCCCACACCCTCTGCCAGATCCCTCATCCCCTCCTGCACCCTAAGCCTCTGCCTCAGCCCCGTGAAAATGAGTGAGGGAGGGGGAAATGAAGTGAGTGGGGTGGGGCCTCACAGAAGAGGCAGGGTTTGGGGGTGGGAGGGTGGAACAAGGGGTTTTGGTTTGTGCAGTTAGATAGTTGGCCACCCTACCAAGCAGTGCATCAGAAGATATTGGCTATTCATATCTAGTAGAGAACATTTTAGTATTTTATAGAGTAATAGGAAGCTTGTTTCTGCACTAAATAAGTCAACAGGAGCTGTGCCATTGACTTTAATGGACTGTCAATCAGGCCCAGAAAGACTAGCACTGGAAGGAATCCTTTAATAACGCTAAAGAGACATTAATCTTTTCAACTAACCATTTTTCTTTCCACCCTCCTCCAAACAGGGCGCAGAGATGTAAGGAAAAGGAAAGGGAGGCTGACCTAAACACAGGCTCCTAATGTAGGCTTTCACAGCATTACCCTTTTGGCTGCCTATGTGTGCCTTTCCCCTCCTCTTTTTCTGTTTTCCCCTCCCCCACAGGCCAATCAGAGGATTAACCAACAGGTTTTGAAAAAACACAGGAGCTTAGTCTAAAGGATTGTTTTCCTTGTGTTTAAATGCAGGAACTGGAGAAGTCACTTGCAGGCTGGAATCAAAACGTGAAAGAACTTGATAATATGAAGGCAGACTTGGCTCATTATATCCTTGCAGAAGATGTGATGCTGCTGAAGGAGCAAGTAGAGCATTTGCACAGACAATGGGAAGAACTCTGCTTACGAGTAAGTCAATTAGCTGTGGAGTATACTGTTCATATCCTTGGTTTTATGTGGACTCATTTAGGTCTTGCAGGGCCTAAACAGAGCAGAAAGGAACATGCTTTAGTTAACATGTGGGATAACTTTAATGGTAGAGTCTCTTTTGTGGCATTATTTGCAGATGCAGTTTCTTTTTAGCATGGCTGAACAATAGAGAAGTAAAAAGTTAGTCTGGGCTCTGCTCTCTTTGTTTCTGTAACACAAAGTACTCCACTTTTGCAAACTGTTAGCAACTGGAGTGTCTGAAAGAAATGCAACTGTTGGGAGAATTAATTGGCTTTGTTCTAACGCACAAACTAGAGTGCTAAGGTTGAACAGAGGAATGGCCTGAAAATGAAGGAGGGGAAAAAGCGGGGGGGAGCGGGGAGAGATTGTTTTGTTGTTTCTGCCACCTACTTTGTCTTTTGAATTTGCAAGTGATGGCATGTTCATAAACTGATGTAAAATACAGCTCCAAGAAAGCTAATAAGTGAAATTGAGATTGAAATTAGCCTTTAGATATGTTTAGTAAAGAGGACCAAAACATATATTAAAAATGGACTAGCCGTTTCTTTAATGTATTGTTTTCCCAAAACTTTCTACAGTTTACTGTTCAACATTTACTGTCTTTTGTGACCTACTGCTATAGTAGATTTAATTAGCACGACATTTAAATTTACTGAACCAAATTATTTCCTAGAGGTAATGGAGTTAGATCAGGGATGAATTTGGCTCACTGAATATACAGATTAGTATAAAATGATGGGTATTTTGTGTGTTATATGCATAATTTCACATATACATTAATAGAGAAAGGTAAAGGTTAAAGAAACAAAATGTTTCATTTTAAGATTCTTGACTTAAGAAGATACTTTGGTAGATAGTTCTAGGACAGCAACAAAATGGAACCCTTTATAGCCATAAAATTATACTGCTTTTTTTTTTTTAAGATTAAAAAAAAAAGGCGAAATGACGTTCTAATAGTATTTAGGGCCCAAACTTTACCCAGGCAAAGGGATCTCAATTTTTGGTGAAATAAGGATTGCATAGTCAGGCCCTTCATAATAAGTTTGATGTGGTGAAATAACATGGTTTTTTCTTTGCACAGACCCAAGAGATACCGTGAATATTTTGCCTTAAACTGAAGCCAGTTCAAGAGTTTGGTCAATGTCAATCTGACTCTCTAGGGCTACGTCTACACTGGCCCCTTTTCCGGAAGGGGCATGTAAATTTCACCAGTCGTCGTAGGGAAATCCGCGGGGGATTTAAATATCCCCCGCGGCATTTAAATAAAAATGTCCGCCGCTTTTTTCCGGCTTTTAAAAAAGCCGGAAAAGAACGTCTAGACTGGCCCCGATCCTCCGGAAAAAGCGCCCTTTTCCGGAGGAAGTAAGGGCACTTTGAAGTAAGAATAAGAGCCTCCGGAAAAGGGCACTTTGGGTCTTATTCCTACTTCAAAGTAGGAATAAGACCCTCCGGAAAAGGGCACTTTTTCCGGAGGATCGGGGCCAGTGTAGACGCTCTTTTCCGGCTTTTTTAAAAGCCGGAAAAAAGCGGCGGACATTTTTATTTAAATGCCGCGGGGGATATTTAAATCCCCCGCGGATTTCCCTACGACGACTGGTGAAATTTACATGCCCCTTCCGGAAAAGGGGCCAGTGTAGACGTAGCCTAGTTGTCCATACTACAGACTTGTTCTAGTTAATGTAAATTCTACAGTACTCTGAGCTTCATAATTCCCCCTCTACCAGAGAATAGTGTTTAGGCTAGCAATGGGCAACCTAGGCTAATGAATGGGCCAGATGAGTGGCCCTCTTTCATGTCAGTGGGCCACCAGATTGTTGTTAACAAGACAGTCTCCGAGGATAGGGTAGTTTTGCTCACTGTGCTTATGTGCCTAGAATTTGCAGAGGGTGCCGATTGAACTGTAGCAGCGCTTCGATGGGATGCAGAGGCAGCGCATGGCTTTCACAATGTTGTGTGCAATCAGTACGCACCCCACTTCACATGCCCTTGCTTTAAGTGCATGTCAGTTTTGTAAAGCCAGTAGCAAAAAACATACACGGACAAAAACCTGTAGAATCTGGCAACCCTGCATGTGGGCATGGTAAAGAAAATATCTTATGAGCCATAGATAGAACCCTGATGGGCCACATGTTGCCCAACACTGGTTTGGGCCGATTTAGTTGGGGCGCCACCGTGTCTGTGTGGAAAGCAGGTTATTTACATCGCCCACCAACTGCATGTGGACAGCCCAGGCTGTCAGCTCCATGCCAATTCCCACGGCCGGGTGTTGACAGAAGGGTGCTGCACTGAGCCAGCTGGATGTTCACCACCCAGCAGCAGGGCTCTTCCCGGAGTCAACTGCCTGGACTGTCCATGCCCACTTAAGTCAGTGCTAGCACTCCTGAGGAGGATCTGTTCCACTGGCAGTAGGAGTGTGGTGAAACAAACACAGTCATTGCTGTGGTGGCTGTGTATTGACATGACCTCGATCAGCTTAACGATGCAGTAGAGATATGGCCTGAATGGCTAACCCAATGAAAGGTGATCAATTTTTACCTTACTATTGCAGATTCTCAAAACTGAGAATGCCAGTCTTGAAAACATGTAGGCACTCCAATATTTTCAAACGTGGATGCCTTAATTGGGCACCTTCTGTATAGCTGCACTTAGACATCTCAATCAGAGGCCTGATTTTACAGGGTGCTGAGAACCCACCATTCGGATTGTGAGTTTATACTTAGACATCTCAATAAGAGGCCTGATTTTACAGGGGTGCTGAGAACCCACCATTCGGATTGTGAGTGCCCAATGGATCTGACAATCAAGCCTGTGTGCCTAAGTGCAGATTAGCCCCAGCTGTGAACTTTCGGCCTTTGTAATTCAAGTTCGGACATACAGTACTCTATTTTGTATGTGTTTTTAGAGAGGAGTCGGAGCAAGAAAGTGAAAAATACAGGGAGTGGAAGATACATTTTGTTTGAAAACAATTGATATTTAAATGGAGAGGTCCAACCCTGCGGCTGTTGTGAACATCACAGAGTGAGGGGGGCAGATGCTCATGCTAGTAAGGGTAGGGAGATAAATAAACACATAGTTAATGAACAGATGCATTCAAGAGGATTAATGTTTGCATCGCTGCCATTGTAAGATATATGTAGATCAAAGATCTAACAATTCATACCAATAAGGTGCTGTCTATTACAACATACATGTATGGTATCTGCAGCTATGTTCCACCTGATAGCAAAAACTACAGAAAGGTGAAAAGAGTGTAACTACAGAAAGAAAACGCAGCTAGTTCATAGCATCCCCCCTTCACTGAAAATTCCCAAGGAGAATTTTTGCCTGAAGTTCTAGTAGGAAGATTTTTTTTTGTGGGGGAGGGCGGGGAACAGTGATTCTATGCAAAATGTGTCCCTCTTAATCAGGCAGAATTGAAATCAGAAACACTTATAGGCGCTAATACTGATTCAGTCAGCGTTGTCCTCCACTTCTTGACCCCAGACATGGAGTTAGTTTACCTCATCCATGGGAAGACAGTTCAGGTGGCAGAGGCTAGCTAATGCCATCATGTGATCCCCATGCTTCTGGTGCAGGGATTGAAGGGTGAGCAGACATACCATGAATATGGAAGAGCCTTCAGATTGAAATCCTCAGGGTCTCCCAAGTTCTCTAGTAGATTTCTTCTTAATGTGAGTTTTGGAGGCCATTCCTCTGCCCCTTTTGTAACACTTGTAGCCCCCTCTCTCTCTTTTGCATAGGTTATGTAATGCTGTAATGTGAAGGATGAGGCAATGCAGATGTAGGAATACATTTCCCTCCCCACGTACTTTGTTGTGCGTGAGGAACATATGGAAACAAATTTCTCAGAACTGAAAGAACAAATGTAATAGAGATGTAGCCGTGTTAGTGCTACATAGTCCTGTTTTTTGTTTCTGAAAGAACAAAAGCAGACTAGTGTGAGGTTCTATAATGTATTTCATGTGACAGGAGCGATCTTTTTATGTTCTCTTATTGCTATTCCCAAATTTCAACCAAGGTATAACATATTAGGCGAAGGATCCAAGAGCTATTTATAGGAGAGGAAAATCAGAAGAATGCCAATGCGATGATCAAAAGTAAAGACTAGATTATCAAATTGTAGAAATATGGGAATCTACTACAGGGATGTATCTCAGAAAGTGGGGTGTGTGTAGAATATAGCTATTTTATAGACGTGTGTAGAAATACATATTTTATATTTCTTGATTCTTTGGCTTTGCCAGATTTCCACTGTATGACGCATGAATTGTTACAAATGTCATCATTTATAAAGCCACCAGCTAATTTAATAGCTTTTTTTAATGGAGAGTATCTGATATTCCACACTTGTGCTACAGCATTCTGGTTGCCATCTTTAAAGGAAAAACTGGAGAATATTAATAAATGCTCTTGAAAATTGGAACTAATTCATTTAGCATCGTGTCTTGATGATGAATTCTGCTGCAATAATCTTATTATTAAATCTAAGTCATGCATGCTTTTGATTGTATTTGTAATCTTTGGCCTCCTGCTGATAGAGCTCTTGACAGCTGTTATGTATCCTTATCCATAGGTGTCTCTGCGTAAGCAGGAGATAGAGGACAGACTCAATGTGTGGAGTGTGTTCAATGAAAAGAATAAAGAGCTATGTGCATGGCTGGTACAGATGGAAAGCAAAGTGTTACAGCCCGCGGATGTTAGTATTGAAGATGTGCTAGAGAAATTACAAAAGGTAAACAGGAAAGCAGCTTTTCGTGCTTTGTAAGAATTTGTTGCAGACAAACCCACACTAAAATAGGAATGTTGAACAGCATTTACAGGCTAAAACCTAGAAATTTAAGTATTTAGGCCTTAATTGACAAAGGTATTTAGAGCCTAATTTCCATTGATTCCACACTGTCTGTATCCCTACTGCTGATCGGTCTGAGGCAAAAGCAAAACAGACCGTCCCCTTAATTGCACTGCAGCAGCATATTGCATTGCACATAGGACTCGTCCTCCTTATGCCGGGGGGAGGATGCAACATATGGGTCCTCTGTTTGATATTTGTAGGGTGTGAGACTACAGACTCCTCCTCTTGGAGTATCTGTTGTAGGTGATGTGTTGCTCCCTCTGATCTCACCAGTGCAACTGTTGTGAAAGGGGCGTTTGAAGGTGAATGTGGGATGATCCCAGAATATGGAGGAGGGTACTGGTTTTGGAACTAAGTACATATGAGGTCACTATGACCCAAAAAACCCCAGTCAAAACCCATAGATCAAGCTGGGAAACTAAATTGATTTCCTTCTGTGGTATTGGACTTGATTAAGTAATAACAAATATATAAAAACACTGAGGATATACTCCCCTGTGTTTCTATAGCAATCTTGTTCATCCCAGTTCAAGCCTGCCCACCCACACAACACAGAATCCCAGAAACATTATTTCAACAAGAAATTGATTTTCAGTGTTGGTTGTAAATAATTTTCGGATGTGATTTTTCTTCCAGGACTGTATGGAAGAAATAAACCTTTTCAGTGAAAATAAACTTCATTTGAAGCAAATGGGTGATCAGCTCATCAAATCTAGCAACAAGAGCAGAGTGGCAGAAATAGATGACAAACTCAATAAAATTAACAATCGGTGGCAGCATCTCTTTGATGTCATTGGAGGACGGTAAGAACTTAAATTTCAATACTTGCCTTTGAAGGAACCAAGGAATTGGCCTTACATTTTGAAATAAAATGCTTGTGTATATGTCTACATGGAATTCCCAACTAAATACGAAACACACTGACCTGATTTTAAGCTATATTAAGTGGGATTTCAAAATTGGCTTAAAAATTAGAATTAATTCGTATTTTCTTATTTAGATTCAATTGTTTTCTGGTGTATTTTGAAACCACACATTACTCCATGTATACAGCACCTAGTGCGGGAAAATTTTCTTTTTAAACCTGAGGGATTAAGGTAGAATCAAAGGGATTTTACTTCGCTGATTTTACATTGTCCTGAACTTCATTTTTAAAATAATACCCTATTGGCTGCGAAGCAATGTGGTAGATTCCCTTTCACTGGGAATCTAAATTAAGACTGGATGCCTTTCCAAGAGATAGACTCTAGTCCATGTGTAAGTTACTGGAATACATGGGCTTCACTGGGTGAAATTTGATGGCTTGATTTATGCAGACAGTCAGACTAGATGCACAGTCCCTTCTGCTCTTAACATTTTTGTAACATCTAATAAATAGGAATTTAATCCCAGTATTTTAGGCTGCCCATTATGTAAAGCCTGTGCATTATTTTTGAAATGCAGCATTTACCGCAGACCAATAAATTGGGAAAAGCTTTGCCATGACAAATCAACAAAATCTGGATAGCCCCATCTGTGACCTCTTCTTATTGGATTAAATGGTTTATTTTACTGAAAGAGCTAAGAAAATAGTGACCACCTTGTCCAATAATTGAGATAATCCAATTTAATTATACAGGCAGTCCCCGGGTTATGTACAAGATAGGGACTGTAGGTTTGTTCTTAAGTTGAATCTGTATGTAAGTCGGAACTGGCGTCCAGATTCAGCCGCTGCTGAAACTGACCAGTGGCTGACTACAGGAAGCCCGAGGCAGAGTTGCTCTGCCCCAGGCTTCCTGGAATCAGCCTCTGATCAGTTTCAACAGGCTGAATCTGGACACCAGTTCCGACTTACATACAGATTCAACTTAAGAACAAACCTACAGTCCCTATCTTGTACATAACCCGGGGACTGCCTGTATAATTAAATTGGATTATCTCAATTATTGGACAAGGTGGTCACTATTTTCTTAGCTCTTTCAGTAAAATAAACCATTTAATCCAATAAGAAGAGGTCACAGATGGGGCTATCCAGATTTTGTTGATTTGTCATGGCAAAGCTTTTCCCAATTTATTGGTCTGCGGTAAATGCTGCATTTCAAAAATAATGCACAGGCTTTACATAATGGGCAGCCTAAAATACTGGGATTAAATTCCTATTTATTAGATGTTACAAAAATGTTAAGAGCAGAAGGGACTGTGCATCTAGTCTGACTGTCTGCATAAATCAAGCCATCAAATTTCACCCAGTGAAGCCCATGTATTCCAGTAACTTACACATGGACTAGAGTCTATCTCTTGGAAAGGCATCCAGTCTTAATTTAGATTCCCAGTGAAAGGGAATCTACCACATTGCTTCGCAGCCAATAGGGTATTATTTTAAAAATGAAGTTCAGGACAATGTAAAATCAGCGAAGTAAAATCCCTTTGATTCTACCTTAATCCCTCAGGTTTAAAAAGAAAATTTTCCCGCACTAGGTGCTGTATACATGGAGTAATGTGTGGTTTCAAAATACACCAGAAAACAATTGAATCTAAATAAGAAAATACGAATTAATTCTAATTTTTAAGCCAATTTTGAAATCCCACTTAATATAGCTTAAAATCAGGTCAGTGTGTTTCGTATTTAGTTGGGAATTCCATGTAGACATATACACAAGCATTTTATTACTCGGGGACTGACTGTAAACTGTTAAATTGAGTCTTTATCCTATATCTTACACCATACACACATCCTGAGAAAGTGTCCAGACTCATTTCCTTCCTGAGATTTGGGTTTATTGGTAACTCAAAAACAATAATATGGACACAACATTGACATTAGCCTAAGCTTTCTGCCTGAAGTAAACTTTTCTAGAGTTTCTCCCTGTCCCTGTTTTCTTTGGTCCTTAAAAAAGACTCTCACCCCTTAATATGTGGGTTGGAGTTAAGTGGGTTCAGCCATCACCATAACTCAACTGTAATTACCTTGAGTCGTAACAAAGGATTTTAACGCTTGAGACTAACGCAACAGCATTGTCTGCTGCTCAGTCTGCTCTTAATAGTATACTGTGTTGAGACTCCATAGACAAGGGTTCTATTACTGCCACTGGGTTTCAAGTCTGTGCCTCAGTTTGCCATCTGTCAAATGAGCATCGATACTGATCTCCTTTGTAAAACGCTTTGAGATCTGCTGATGAAAAGTGCTATAGAAGAGCAAGGCATTCCAGTTCTTCATGAAAGAGATTTCTAACTTGTGGTTCACTTCTGTTGGTGGATCTGCATTGTATTTATAATATAGAAGTATTATAACTGCACTTTTTCTCTGCCCGTTATAGATTTGCCATAAGGTGCTGGGATTTTTTTAGTTTAAAAACTGAAAAGTATTGTAAATTTAAAAGCAAAGGAAAAGTTATTTTCTTAACAACTGTACCTAACAAAATACTCATGAAATCTGTGCCATAAACCAACCTCTGGCTGCAACTGGAAAGAACTTCCCCTTCCTAACTGTCCGTCGCACAGGGATTTTTGCACTTCTCTCTGAACAATGGCCACTGTGTTGGGGAACGGATATTGAACTAGATAGACCACAGGTTTGACCTTGTATGTTCCTATCGTAAGTGTGCTTGGACCAATTGTTAATACCCTAGTCTCAATTCTGAGTTCCTCACAGAAGTGACTGATCGGAGGCAGGGGGAGCCACCAGCCATGTGACTCACACACCTCCACCCAGGGAGGAGCCAGGACAACCCCGCCCAACCAAGTGGTGGACTAGAGGTGCCAGCAGCAGGGGTCCACCCCTCCTCTTCCCCACCTGCACTTACCAACAGCAGAGGGTAAGCAGAGGCAGGCAGCTCCAGCTGCTTGGCTCCCCTGGCTGCTGCATCACTCCACTTCCCACTGGAGCACACAGGGCGGTCCCATCCCCTCCCCAGAGAGCAAATCAGTGAGACCACTTTGCTCCTCTTCCTCTGCCCCTGCTGTGGAATGTTGGGGGAAGGGTGGATCCCTCCTGTGGGCAGTAAGTGCTACTGGCTGGCCCCTTGCTTCTCCGGAGCATGGTGTGAGGGTGCACATGACCCTTCATGTCCCTCTTCCCCCATAGCTCCTCAGTTCATCCACTGAGTTCAGGAACACAGCAGAGGGGTCAGCAAAGATGACTTGAGTTTCCTGTATTCTGGGGTTGTTTGGAGCCTGTCTAGGCTGTGATGTAAGACAGAGCTGCCTAAAGACTATACAGTCCCGTGGGACTTTATGCTAGTGCAGGATTGTCATTATTGGAACAGAACTCTGCATTCCCCCTCCCTCGCCTAACACACACTGTACATGGGGATGGCTAATGCAAGGGCCTGCTTTATACCCATGCAGACTTATCCTATGTCAGGGGAATTCTCTGCAGATCACTTATAGCTAGAATCCAGTGGCAGCTGGAGTGGAAAGAAGATACAGGATATGGGGGTTAGTGTGCATTTTTTCTGAAATGTAGCACTTCTCTTGTGAAAATATAACCCACATTCACACTGTATTTTTCAATTTTAATTAGATACTAGAGGGCTGTGCCCTAGTTGCCTCCCATCATGGGAGGGAGGCAACCCTGGCTCTCACCCCAGCCACCAGGGACGGCCAGGCTTCAACTGCACCAACCCAGGCCCCTTTTCCCTCTTCCCTCTTCCCTCCTCCCTCTCTGCCAACCAGGACCTCTTCTCCCCTCCTGCCCCGCCAGCCCTGCCCTTTCTCTCCTTCCCAAGGGCACTGAGGGGGGGCCAAATTGCATTGATTATTGCATTGCAAATTGCATTGATTATTCGATTAGCCAATTAATTTAAATGTAACATCCCTATTATGCTCTTCTAGCCTTAAAATCTCTTAATTAACATAGGAACAACTACTGCCACCCAGATGATTTAACTTCTTCGAGACAAATTCAGAGGCAGACTCCAATACAAGAGAGGAAAAACAAAAATTTAATTGAGCAGTTACTTTAAAAAAAACTGAGAAATGTCTTGTGTATATTATTTTACAAGTTAAAAATAAAATTGTAAAGCACATATGTAACTTTATAACAATCCGACACAGCAGCTCTCTAGAGCTAGGTCTTTCTTTGGGGCCACCTGGCATAGCACCCTTAATTTCAGTGGAAACAGAAGCCTAGATGGGAGAGACCAGAACAAAAGGCTGACTGGGGGGGTGGGGAAACTGGGAATTGGAGTGGGAGAGAAGCAGGAATTGGGGATGAAATTGGAGGGAGCTGAAATTGAATGAGGAGCTGGGAAGGGGGAGACTGAAAATGGTTATGGAGGGAGGTGAGGGGATTGGAAAGACATCTGACAAGCAGCTGAACTCTTGGGGGAACTGGGACTGACTGAGCAGAGACTGGAACAAGGAGCCCGGGGAGTGGAAGTGAAACTGCACGAGGAATTCCAGGAGGTTAACTGGGACTGGGAGCCAATGGAAATGGGGTACATACGGGAAGGGCATAGAGATTAGAATGGGGAAGAAGCAGATCAAATATGGAGCTGAGAGGGACACAAGTACAAGGAGATGAGGGGGTGGAAATGGATGTGGAGGCATATAGACGGGTGAGACTAGGACTTATTGGGTAAAGGCCTGGAACTGGGATAAGAAGACTGGGTACTGGGATTGGCTATGTGAGGAGACTGGGAAAAAGTGCTAGGTGGGAAAAGGATAGGATTTGGGCAGAATGGGTCACCCTTGTGGGGAATGCTCAGTAGAATACACTCCCTTCTAGAGCCTGGGTGTCACACCATTCTATCAGCAAATATCTGTGAAACCCACTGGTAAAGCATGTGTCTCATCCCCCACTAGTGCTGGTCCACATCAAAGA